GGAAAATGATTGAAATGCACTTTTTGTCTACCCACCCAAAAAGAAGTCCTCCCCCTTTCTCTCTTTACATGTAGCTATGTCCAATTTAGGCTTTGATATTATGAAATCCATGAACTCATCTCTCTCTACATGCTAAAGGAAAAATCCTCTATTATTTATGCATATATGTGTGTGAATTTAGAAAATTGATGTTGTTGCATTCATATTGGGAACTCCCTCTTTTGTTTTCCACTTTGGGTGTTGAATAATACGCGTGGGTCTCTCTCTCTAAGTCTCATGTCTCTCACTCTATGCATGCGGCATATGCTCCTATAGTGTGCTCCTGCGGGAGAACTCTGTGTGCTTGCGCCCAAGGGTAAAATAGCCGATCAGGAGATTGGTTCCTGTGAAATATGAGACCGACTTTAGACCGTATGAGTATTTTCTAAATAAATTATATTTTTAGCTTCTAAATACTTTGATTTGACTAACAAAAAATGGATGGATGATCCAAACGCTATTAGGCAAGGACACGGTTTCTATGAGTTCATGTAGAAATGAGTCAGACTCTTGAAAATCTATTTTTGAAATGGAGTTCATGAATATGAAAATAACATTTGAAAAAAGAACATTTGAACCGTTAGTTTCAATTGTTTTTAGATGGGCCACCTATTTGCGTCCATATTTAAGATGAATGCTTTATACCTTGAGACCGTACATTGTAGAAATGCGGTCCAACCCACATGAACCAATTATCCATTAGGCAATGGGTCGCAAGACATTGGCCATGAGGCTCTGGTTTCATCCGGCCGGGCTTGGGGCTTTGGAGACATAGGAGTACAATTATGAGGAAAAAAAACTCAAAATAATTTGCTTTTTTACAAAACCTTACAAATCTTTAGACTAGTGTCATATTAAATGTGAACGGTCAGCATAAACTATATAGAGCTCCCCCGGCTCATAGTAACACATGGTGAGTCCTAGGAAGTCTTTTTTTTTTCTAGCTACATTTCCTTGAGGTTGATAGCTAGGATGTGCAGGTTACATATTATAATTTAGAGGTTGATAGCTAGGTTGTGGACTTATGACCTCACTAAAAATATGGTCATTGATAAAGCAGAACGATGAACCTGAAATCGTATAGCCGATCCTAACTAATTAAGAAAAAACTAAAGGCATAGTCCTTGATAAAGTAGAGAAGTGGACTTGGATTAGTATAGCCGACCTTAAATAGCTAAAAAAAAGCTATAATAAATGATGATGATGAAAAATATTCGCACTCTTTGGATTTTATCTCGAGGATATATGAAAGGCATGCTCCTCCAGGAGCTTGTAATCTTTTTGCAAAATATTTTTGTTTATTCGTATTTAAATATAGGCATGTGTGTAAATTTATTTATTTATTTTCTTTGGACATGGTATCCTTTTAATGGTCTAGAAGGGAGACGCTTGTCATTTCTCTTATTGATAGAGGTGGTCTTGCTATTTTTTGCAATCGAACAGGGATATTTTAGTAAAAGACTGTAACTTTTGAGATCTACGGACCCGCTTGGAAAGGCCTTCCAACACATCAGGTTCTGTCAGATTTTGTAAGGACTTAGCTGCATTTCATTCAAAGGCATAGGTCCGTACGACCACAAAATTATATTAGCCGAAATTACCCCTTTTATTGATGCAAATGCCATGAAAAGTCCTCGTTTTAAAATTAAAGAAATTTACTGTTTTGGCACTCGAGACAAAGGTCGGAGTCTCGTGGGGACTTTTATGTGATGTCTAGATGAAAGCCACGTGTCAATTGGAAACCTCGGCCATCCAAGTATCATCTAAGATCTACCAACGAGGAAATTTTTTAAGAAAAAGTTTATATAGAGCCGAGGCTCTAAACAATCAAATCAAAGCCTACCTCAAAAATTTCACTTCAAGAGGTCGTTTTAATATGAAAATATCCTCAAATCGATCTTATAGACATTCATGGATATGAATCGTCAATTTTCAAGATTTTTCAAATTTTCATAGATCTCTGGAACTGCATTATTTTTTGAAACTTTAAACTTTATAAATAAAAATGAAAATGTATTTTAAGACTACCAAAAAGATTTCCAAGATTGAAACTACATTTCTCGATACTATTTGAAGGTATGCTCTAATTTGATTGTTTAGAGCCCCAATTTTTTTTTTTCCAAAGAAATTACGCACTACCATAAATGCACCTTTGGTGAATGGTACAAAGTAGAACAAGATCCACACCAGTGGTTCATGATGATGGATGGTGGCGATTCTTCGGCTTCTGATGACGCATGATGGAGATTGAGTAAAACATGGGGTTGTCCTGATCCATCATGGTCGAGAACATGCTCCTTTGGTCATCTACAGATAATCTATATAATTAAAAAATCACCGGACTTCCATGGAATCGGCTCAAAACCAAGGACCCTTTGGTTTCTGGACCCCTCCCAGATTGGGGAATTGCCTCTAAGTGGTTCGTCGGAGCGGACAACCTGGTTCACAATAGGGACTCACACGATCACAAGTCCTTAGGTGGTTTTTATCCTTATTTGTCATAGGCTTTTTTACATCATTTAGGGCCGGTTTGCTTTGCCCAGGACTGGCGAGCAACCCCAGATCTGTTCGCATGAACAATGGGGATCCGATATAGTGGATCCTACTTTTGATTAATCCCCACCATCCATTTAGAAGTTGACTAATGCCCCTCTGGTCTATACACATTATCATGCACATTTGGTGTACAGTGCACTCCTACACATTTCCCCAATCAGAAAGGTAAAGTTCAATAAGGTTATACAACTATATAGAAACTATATAGAAGTAAGTTGCACATCAAAATCAGTAGAAATAAGTATTTCAAAATTGAAAGACATTCAAAAAGATGATCTTGGCCCTAAGATATATATATATATATCATCATCATCATTAGAGTCTTTTTTCAAATATTTGATATTGGTTTAAGAGCCATATCCTCAGTGAAACCATAAATACCCATATCTTTTCAAGTCCTAAAAATTATTATGGTCTAATTCACTTCGCTTCGGCCAAAGAGGCCGACGCTTTTGGTTTTTAAGTATAGACGAAAGCAAAGCGAAGCCTGGTGTTGCCGTTTCGGTTAGATTCGGGCTGCTTTGGTCATATTCGGGTTTGCTTTGAGCGAATTTGACCGAAGCTTTGGCCTCTTCGACCTAAGCAAAGAAACATCTATATAAATGTATTCTTTATTTTGTTTGAAATTTTATTTTTAATTTGTATTAGTTTTATATGTTAATATTCAATTAAAAAAGTCAAAATTTTTCCATTGAATAGGACAAAGCGCTAAATTACTTCATTTCTTTCACCAAACCGAAGAATACTCTAAAGCGAATATGATAACATTGCTAAAAATAATATATCTTATAACAAGTTATGTTACCAAAGTGAATTTGACAACATTGCTTAAAATAATGCTTCTCATAACAAGTTATGTTTATCTTCTATTTACAAGATTTTCAAATGTTTGTAAACCTGTTGTTTGATGTACACTATTTTTAGAATTTCAAATTTCTTAAGGGAATAGTTGGTATAGAGCCGGGGCTTTAAACAATCAAAATAAAGCACATCTTAAAATAGTGCCATTAAATGTGGCTTCAATACTGAAAATATTTGTGATAGCCTTTAAATATATTTTCATTTCTAATTATAAAATTTAAAGCTTAAAAAATAGTATAAGTCGAGCCGATCTATGAAAACTTGAAAATCTTAAAAATTAACGGTCCAAAAATGAACTACTTCCAAAACTTGAAATCAAATTTTTTATGATGTCTATGCATCTTGATGTCGAGATGATTAATTTGAGGATATTTGAGCATTAAAACTATCTCTTCTAGTGAAATGTTTGAGGTAGGCTCTAATTTGATTGTTTAGAGCCTTGGCTCCTTATAAACTTTTTCCTAACTCTTGTATAGTTTAAGGGTGCCGTATGTATAGAGCCTAGGCTCTAAACAATCAAATTAGAGCCTACCTTCAAACAGTGTTGAGAAATGTGGTTCCAATATTGGAAATCTTTATGATAGCCTTAACATTTTTATTTATAAAGTTTAAAGCTTAAAAAAATAGTGTCGATCGACATATCTATGAAAACTCGAAAATCTTGAAAATTGACAATAAAAAATAAGTTTCAAAATACACTATATTCAACATTCAAAATCCATTTTTTCCTCATGTCCATATATCTTGATATTGAGATGATCAATTTGAGGATATTTGAGCATCAAAACAACCTCTTCAAGTGAAAATTTTGAGGTAGAGATTGTTTAGAGGCTCGGCTCTACATAAACTTTTCCCATAGGTTAAATCTTTTAACAAACCCAACCCCAATATAGAATAAGAAAAACCGGTCACAAAAAAGGGCAAGCTATAGGGTTAGTAAATATGTTTGGGCTATTTTAGGTCATGTTTTTTCTGAGGAAAGTTTGACCGTACGTATTCTGGGAGACCGACAAATTCTGGGCCGGTTTCTTACCGATAACGCCGTTATTAACCTTTTCCGTCTCGCGCTTTATGTTACATCAGCCTTCGTCATCTCATCCACACTTAGAAAGAGAAAGAGGAGTTTAGAGAGAGAAAGTGAAAAGGAAGGGTAGAGAGAGAAAAAGAAGAAGATATAGGGAGAAGAAGAAGAAGATAGAGAGAGAAAGGAAGAAGAGGAGCTTTACTCCAATTTGGATCTGTCTAGGGTAACACCCTAACCCTAATTTCTTTATCATGTCTCTGGTTTTGGTTTCGTTCATCAGTCCCTGTTTTAAGTTTTAACTTTTGGATCAGCTGAGTGTTACTGTTTCGCTGTAACTCTGATGACGGTTGGGGGTTTTAGAAGCCACTTTCTGATTTATTTTTTTTTGCGGACGTTTCGTGAATTCATGGAAGTTACTGAAATATATATTCGATTAAAGGTTTTTGAAGGTTTTATGGTTGAATTTCTTGTGGGAATTCTTGTTTATAGCATGGTACTATCTTCATTTTTCTTAGCAATTTTTCATGATGGGGCTTTCGGGTTACCTCTGTGGTGTTTTTATGAAAATTTTTGTTTTAGAAATGAAAATTGTTGAGTACCTGCTGAGAAATTGGATTTTTTGGTATGCTTTGCCTGTAGGTATGTTTGAGCATAGGAAATGTACAAAATTATTGGTGAATATTAGGAATTTCATGGCTACTTGTGTAGTCTTTGTCAAGATATATTGTTTCTGCAGAAAAAAGGGTGTATGAGGGGTCTTTAGCTCTAAATGAAAGTCTGTGAGTCCTGCTGCAGATTAGGGTTTTTGCAGATTCTATTATGTTTTTGGAGAAATTCTCCCCCTCATGCAATATCTAGATTCTCTTTTCCCGGTTTTTTGATAGTGAACTTCTGTTTGGATTCTGAAAAATCAACTGGAGGCAAAAGTTATTTCTGATTATAATTGCAGAGATCCCACTATGAATTTTTGTACTTCTAGTCATGCGCATGTTTCTCCTGTCAATGTTTTTGTTAATTTTTATAGATCTAAATGACAATTGGGATTTTCTATTGCTGTTGGGACTGAACTCAATATTTGGAATCTGTTCTTAATATCTCTGTGTTGTTGTCCTGTACATTATTTATTGGATTTGATATGCGTTGACGTGCTGTAAAACATTTTGTCCATATGGTAGTTATGATTATACTGTTTCTTTTTACCCTTGAGAGTCGGTAACAGAAAGTTGTGCGGCTTTTAGGTGTCGATAGGTTCATAAACGGCATCAACATGCGCATGCTATGGAACTAATGATAGGTGCTGATTTATGCATTTGTGAGGTCTGCCAAGATGTGTTTTGAACAGCCACCAGTGGAGTTATGTTGCGTATTTAGTTCCAAAAAAAAAAAAACATCTCTGAAGAATGTTATGGGCTTTCAGATTTCTGGGTCATGATCTTATTGAAGTTGTTAAGAATAGAGTTCCATGATATATACGTTTTACATAATTGAGAAATCAACTAAAAGTTTTTAAAATGCAATTGTATGTTACTATGAGTGTATTTTTTGTCTATTATTATAATGGGGTTTTATTTCAAGATGTTTTTGTCTTTAAACACAATCTTTTGAACATTTTGGATAGCCGCGATGAATCTGGATTTTGTTTGTTCCCTGGAGATTCCCTCTGGGAAGCACAATCTTTATGTGGAGAGAATGCCCATCCTTCTGACCAGCTTCTTCAGTAGGTGTATAAGTGTGAATGAGGCTCCTATGTGAAACTCTCTCCAAGTCCTCCCTTACTACTTGAGCTCCTAAATTCTCTGAATTTCCTGAAGATTTATAATCATCGTAACTCATAAGCACTGTATGTGCTCTCATCTATCGTTTTTGAAAGCATGGAATTGGTTGCATAATATTGTTGATTGATAGTGACCTCCATCTATATTTTGGGGAAGCATGGGTTTGGTTGCATGGTGTCCTCATTGGAATGATTTATTGACAATGAAAGCACTTAAAGCAGCACTTATTGCAATTTCTGTACAATTTACATTCGATAGCATAGTTTGAATTTAAATATGTTTGATGTGTGTATCTGGTGGAAGATGAATAGCATGTCAATATTGCGCTTGCATTTTGTTACTTGTACATGCCTTGTCCATTTTGTTGTTTTTGTCATCCTTGTATGGAAGGAATTTGTTTTCAATAATTAGTTTTCCCATTGGTGTTAGAAGCTGCAGAAATTTGCATGTAGCTACCAGTAGGGTGCTATGTACTTACGAAGATACAGTGCAAAGTTCAATCTTAAGCTATTTGAGATTGTTCATTTGCAATATATTTCCTAATGAAATAATAGGAAAGGGAAATTTGCATAATATCCATAGAGAACCCCCATTAAGAAAGCTCACTTCACTGTAAACCTGGGTATTGATATTATTTTTATCAAACCCTCTAGGTGAGATAACAAGGGATTAGGACCACAATTTCACTGAATCAATCAACAAAGAAAAAGAAGAACTACCTCAATATGTAACAAAGGCTGTAGCTGTTGCTATATAAAAACCCCTGACCAAAATGCTTTTCCTTCCTTGACAAATCAAAACACTACCCCTCTCTTTCCTATATGAATATCTAGAGCTCCTCCTCCCAATAACGCCCTTCTCATACCTATAGTCTAAAAAAGACACTGAAGACAATAAACAAGAAAATAGACAAACTATCAAGCCTGTGCAACCTAACAATCACATCATCCGAGCTATCTGATTCCTGCAACGCCTCTAGGATTCACCTGAAAGCTGCCACTTGGCATGGGACCCTGAGCACCCCTATTTGATCATATCTCTGCTCGTGAAGTTATCTATTCAATTACTCGGAAGACCCTAGATGGTTGAAAACATTGGTGCTCACCGCAAATTTTTCCAATTCGTCTTCCCCAAGTATGGGCATGTGTGGTTCTATGGCTTTTAGCTAACTTTTTAGCTCTTTTTGGCTATTTCTTGGCAGTTCTTTACATTTTTCCATCGACCTTTTGAACCATTGATCTCGGGCCTGGGATTCCTTGGGCCTTTTAATAATGGCCAGTGATCACTAGATTCTGATCGGTGAAGGGATTGGCGTGAAGTTGGAGAGCGGAGATGAGAGAGCTGTATGATCAGTTGCTTCATTGTTGGATAAGATGGAATAAACGTTCGGTCTCGGGTTTGGATAAGATGAGAGAGAAAGAAGATAGATATTAATAGTTTTTCAGGTTTATAGAGAGAGAAAAGAACAGTGAATCGAGATTTTTATTCTTTTTTCCCATTGATTGATCCAGGGGCATTTTGATCCTAAATCCCCTTGTTCTCCCATGTGGGGGATTTGATGGAAAGAAAACTAGTACCCAGGTTTATGGTGAGAGTGCTTTTTTGGCGGGGGCCCTCTGTGGAGTATGTTTTAGTGGGGGGGAATTAGTCCTTGGCTTCTAGTTGACAGAAACGGTTATTCTTCCTTCGTATTTTATCATCTCTCTTGCAAAGTTAACTCTTAGAGGCAATTCATTATGTTATTTCTGTTGAAATAACATCTACTACTCTGCCCCTTTCTTGAAACTTCATAATAATCCCAGTTGATGACATCAATTCTTGCTTTGTTTTCTATTATCTTTCTTATGATATAAGCTTGTGTCTGTCAATGACTTGTTTAGTTTCGGGCCTTCTAGTTGACATATTGTAGCTATTTTTAGGTATTGTAATCTGAATTTGGAGAAAAAAAACTAGCTTCTTTGTTTTTCTTTGTCCATTTTATTTATCCATCTACAGTTTTTGGTTGTCCTGTGTGATACAATAAAAAATATTTTTTCTTATGAAAATATGTGTTCATTTTGGATTGTTTTTTAGTAGATGTGAACTTTGGCTGCAAATAAACTATCCTAATTGAAATCAGAAACTGTTGATTTGTACCAGGAAGTTTAATCAGGAAAATTATATTGTACGAGGATGTTTACTGTCTTCTTGTTGTGACTTCTCCAAATCTTGAAATGCATATATTTATTCAACTTCAAGGTTGACATAAGCACCCTTCGGGATCCAGTGAACATCTTATTGCTTCATGTTGTGAACCTTTTGAGAGTCTAAGGTGCTAGGGTGCATAAAATACCAGAGTTCAAACTGTACAAACAATTGGCCTTCAATTTCATCCAAAGTGTTGAAGGGAACATGGGTCCTCTTTGTGACTTTTGCGGGGACCAAAGGTCTATGGTGTACTGTAGGTCCGATGCAGCTTGCTTATGCTTATCATGTGATCGCAAGGTGCATTCTGCAAATGCACTTTCTAGGCGTCATTCACGAACACTTGTATGCGACAGATGCAGTTCTCAGCCAGCAATTGTTAGATGTCTTGACGAGAGTACATCTCTTTGTCAAAATTGTGATTGGAATGGCCATGGGGCCCCAGGATCTGCTTCAGGTCATAAGAGACAGACAATTAACTGCTATTCAGGTTGCCCCTCTGCTACTGAACTTTCAAGAATTTGGACATTTGTTATGGATTTCCCCTCCACCGAAGATACTACCTGTGAGCAAGGAATGGGTTTGATGACGATCGATGAGAACAATGTGAGCAATAGTTGGGGTTCAATGGAAAATGGTGACAAAGTGGATTTTTGTGTGGGATCTTCACGAATTCCTGCTTTGGACTCGATGTCACAAGTTGATCAACAAGTTGTAACCTCCGACTTTACCCCACCCAAGGTGATTTTCCTTTCTGCATTTTCTTTACAATGTAATTTCAGAAAGGATTCTCTAATATCTTTTATTCTTTTTTTTCTGGCTGGTTTCAAGTGTGAACCCTCCACCTCCCTCTTGCTAACCAATGTCGCGCCAATGTAGTAAGGTGTAAGAGATGTTTTGGGGCATATTTTCAATGATTTTGCAGCATAATTAGTGTATTTTATGTGTTAGCTAACAATTCATGCAAATAAAAGCATTTTCTCGCTCTGAGCTTGACAATTAAACTCATATGTTCCTCTCTATCTCTCGCACATCTTTCTCTCTCTCCGTTCTTCTTCATCTTTATTTTCTTTCCTCTCTTTCTCTCTCTAGATCCTACCAACCTGTTTTCTTCTCTACTTTAATTTCAACTATTTGTTCCGATATAATGTAAGTCTGCAGGATGTTTGGTTAATTTTATTGTTCTGTGGTACATAAAAACCATTTTTCTTCACAATCTTATGATTTGTATATAAGTTTCTGGATTGTACCTAACAGTTATTCAGTCCCTTTTAAAATTTAGATATCTATTGAAGTTCACACCAACATTGAGTGTTGAAAAAGAATTGATGCATGAGAAAAAGTATATATGCATCAAATTGGTAAGTGAGGAGTTGAGAATGATATGTGGTTAAAGGGATGAATCAAGGGTTGGTAGATCAGTGCTTCAAATTGATGTTGAATTAAGTATTAGATCAAATCTTCATCTAACTTCACTTTTCTACTTGATGAAAATTTTTAATTTGCTAAATTTTTCTATGTTTTCATGTTCCACTGTACTAAATATACTGTTGTGTGCAGATGTGCTCTACTGAAATTAAGGGCCTTGGAATTTGTGATGACGATATTTATAAAGATTTCAATGTCGATGATGTTGACTTGGACTTTGATGACTATGAAGAGTTGTTTGGTGGTTCCCACAATCCTTCAGGATATCTTTTTGACGATGCTGGTGTTGATAGCTTGTTTATGGGGAAGAACGCTTCTGTTGCTAATTCAAATGCCCAAAGTGAAAATTCAATGGAGGTTTGTTACATTGCTTTCTCCATCTCTTGTCTTTTGATTACAAATTTATCTCTCTTTTACGCAATGACTCCATCAGTTCTGGGTGGTTTCTAGTGTTTATCATTCATCACTTCTTTTCCTAGATGAACATAAAGTGCCAGTTTCAATAATGATTTACTAGAGCATGAAGTCTCAGTTCCAATAATGAGCCAATCATCCTTATCTCCCTTATTTGAAGCTTTTGTATTACATTTTTCATAAGTCAAGTTACACATTTAAGAGATTCTAGTTGTGTGAATTAATTGAATGTGGTATGATTGCCTCTTATGAGACATGCTATGACTGATGATGTTTATACTTGTACAAGCAATCTATGTCATAGAAGAATGCTAAAACAAACTAGAATTGGTCTCAAAAGGAAAAAAAAAGTGCTCCACTAGAATGGGTTTAGTTAGAAAAAAAGAATTATGATAAGAGGACTTAGATTGTGGTTCTTTTGCAGGCATCTTCAGTAAGGCCAGATGGCTCGAATGTTCTCACTCCGTGCATTTCTCGACATGTGAATACCATCCAAACGACCACTTGTAGTGAACCAATAGTGTCAGGCCATGATAGATGTACTGGCCTTGACCTCACTTTTCCAGTGAGGCAAGCCTGTTCGAGTGTATCCCTCTCGTTTTCTGGAATGACAGGGGAGAGTAATGCAGGAGATTACCAAGACTGTGGAATTTCGTCGACACTTTTTATGGGGGAGCCACCGTGGGACCTGTCGGGCCCTGAAGGCACATTCCCTCAATCGAGGGACAGTGCGGTTTTGCGATACAAGGAGAAGAAGAAAACCCGAAAGTGAGTTAATCTTGATTGATCTCTCTGCCCCCCCCCCACACACACAACAAAAAAAAAAACGAAGTAAATAGGGTGAGAGAGAGAGAGAGAGAGAGAGAGAGAGAGGGATGCGGATTTCTTTCCCTTTGTCCATTTGCCCTTTTCTCCTCTTTTTTTTGTTTTGTTTTTGTTTTTTCTTCTTTTGCATTTTTTAAAACATGCACAATCGAGGAGCTCGCCTCCTCTTAAAACATTGACTTGAACTATCATAGATCATGACCGACCACCATCTGATGTATTGATGGACGGTGTTGGAGAGAGAGTACGACCCCAAGCCAACATGACCTGATCTAGTTGGTAGGTCCTTATCGCTTTCTCAAACACTGTACATCCATTGATTGGTTACTTTTAGCTCGCCATTTATTGTAGATCAGGTATAACCTACTGATTATTCCTCTATTCATATTTTATTCAATCAAAAAATTGTTTGATATTATTATTTCACATTTTATTTTATAGGAGTAAGTTGGGCTTTTCTCATTTTAGGTCAAAAAGAGAATTTTAGTATAACGAAATCATCTCTGGTTATCGTGCTTTCATTTGATTTTATAAATTTTGGATATTAAAATTAAAATGGAGTATTAAGCATAATGGGTTTTGTTCCCTCAGAAGGCAAATTTTTTGGTGTTGATATTTGACAGGTTTGAAAAGAAAATCCGGTATGCCTCTCGTAAGGCTAGGGCAGACATAAGGAAACGAGTAAAGGGGCGTTTTGTGAAGGCTGGAGAGGCCTATGACTATGACCCATTGTGTCAGTTCCAGGCTAGAAGTTTCTAAGGCAATGGTGAACTTCGTGACACGCGATCCTTCTTTCTACTTCACCAATTTATATATTTCTCAAACTGGCTGCCTAAAAACTAAATACAAAAAGAAGAAAAAATTGGGGGAGACAAAGAGGGGTCGAATATCAGCAACAATTTACCTGTTAAGTGAAAACAACCGAGATAAAGAAGTTGAATATTGGCGGTCAATATGCCTGTTAAAGTGTTAACTTTCTGCCTTTTGTGGGTCAGATTTCATGAAATCTGGCCTATGTCACCAGGGGGCCTTGTTTATATCATTTTGGTTATAATCTATGCCTGCTTATCCATCTTTTCGGCTGGGTACTATCTGATTATGCCGGAATTTGTTGGTGTAGATGTCTGGGGAGGGGATGTATATGGAATTCTAGTGATGGATTGAAGTGAATATTGATGTGTCCAAATTCCCTCGAGGAAGATGTGAAGGTGAGACATGAGAGAGAGAGAGAGAGAGAGAGAGAGAGAGATAGAGAGAGAGAGAGAGATGCGAGCGA